TGCCCTCAGAGGCTTCGCTTCTCAGTGTCCCGGTATTTGCTGCAAGCACCTCCGAGAGAAAGCTGCCCTCGAGTTCCGAACAATGCCAGACAGTCCCGCTTCTCCCGTATGAGCCTGGGTCCCCAAAGACTCACCCAGAACTGGAGCTCAGAGCCTGAGACTCCCTCCCGATTTCAAAAGACAACCGTGCCCTCAGCCGCCAGCCTGCTCTGCGTGCGCCTCTGTACCTTAGTATTTTACTTCCGCACCGCTCCTCCTCTGAGTCTCAGTGTGCTTCTCTCTTTCCTTCTAGTTGTAGAATTTCCACTCAGCCAGCCTTCCTGTGGTTCTGGATGATGTCCGGTCCGTCTTTTAGTTGTATTTTTGAAGTTGTTGTGGGAGGCAGCAAACTCTGGTGTTTACCTATGCCGCCATCTTGGTTTCTCCCATCTTGGATTCTTTAAAAAAGGAAAAACTCAAGGTCTAACAGTGAACAATAAAATAATACAGAGGAGTGCATTATGATGCATAAAAAAGTGTTCCACTTCAGTTCTTTTTAAAAAACAAAACAAAAAACAACAACATTTTTATTGATTTCAGAGAGGAAGGGAGAGAGAGAAATATCAGTGAGAGAGAATCATTGATCGGTTGCCTCCTGTATGCCCCCTACTGGGGACAGAGCCTGCAACCCCAGGATGTGCCTTTGACCATAATTGAACCCAGGACCCTTCAGTCCACAGGCTGACGCTCTATCCACTGAGCAAACCAGCTAGGGCTCCACTTCAGTTCTTTTTATTTATATATTAATCCTCCCCCATGATATGTTTTCACTGATTTTAGAGAGGAAGGGGGAGAGAGAAACATCTACCAGTTGCCTCCCCGGATACTCACCCCTACCGGGGTTGAACCCGAAACCCAGGTATGTATCCTGGCTGGGACTTGAACCCGAGATGTTTTGGTGTATGGGATGACACTCCGGCCCACTGAGCCACCGGCCAGGGCCCCGTTCTTTTAAAGAAAACTGTTTATTTGGATATCCTGGAGATAGTGTGGAGCATTGAGATTAATCATGGGAAACATCAATACTGAATTCTAATTAGGAGGCTTCCTTAAGTGAGCAGACAGCTGTTGGGCAAAGAGTTTGCTGAACCAGCAGACTCCGTTTGGCTCTTGCTGGAAAAGCATTGGCCTTGACGTTTCTGGCTTCTTACTGGCTGTACCAGGAACAGAGTGCCAGTGTTCCCCCTGCCTATTTGAACATAGGCCGTAGGTGTTAGAGGCTGCTCGGCTCTCCTATGGAGTGTTTGGTATTGGAAACAGTAACATTTAATGTGCAAAACACACAAAACACAGAAACCTTGGCATGACTGTCTTCTCGGTCAAAGCACAGACCTCCCAGAAGCCCTGGGTGCCCTTTCCCGTCAGAGCGCTGGCTGCTGCCCAGCGTCATCCTTCCGGACATTGGCAGCCATCACAGTGTGCTGCTCTGTGCGGGCTGTCCAGCGCGCCTGAGCGCTGTGCCTGGCTGCCTTCTGAACGGCAGGTAATGGCCATGCCCGACGGCTTTCACGCAGCGGCCCTGCGCCACTCGGTGCTGTGGTCCCCATGCCGGGCTGCCCCGCTGCTGATGGGTATGAGGTTTGCAGTCATTACCAACTGTGCTGCCCCCTTGAGTGTGTCCCTGGGGCTGCTGGGCGCCGGGGCACCGGGATGGCACTGCTCTGCTCACTGCGTTCCAGCGTCTCGCCCGCCAGGGCACACAGGCCTGTCGCTGCGCATCCCCTCCTGCCCGCCCTCGGGCTTTATCTATAGCAGACGTTTTGGGGAGGATGTACTACCTCGTGACGATTTTGGTTTCTATGTTTCTGACGATTAACGAGGTTGGACAGCTTCTCGTATCACCAGCAGCTGTTAGGAGTTTCTCTTTGGTGAAGCATCTGGCCAAGTTTCCCACCCGTTTGTGTACTGACGGTTTTGCTTTCTCACTGATTAATGGGACATCTTGCTGTGTTCTGGTTACAAGCTGGGTTCTTACTCTTTCACTCACATGATGGTGTCTTTTGATGACAGACGTTCTTAGTGTTTAATGTGGTGTAATTTCAGCCCTTTTTCTTTATGACTAGTGCCTTCTGCATCCGTTTAAGAAATCTTCCCTTACTGCCAGCTCATGAGGTACTCTCATGTGTTATATTTTCATTCGCCGTTGCGTTTAGGTTATAAAATCCACCTGGAACTTATTTTTCTTTTTATGGACTTTTAAATTAAGAAATAAATTTCAGCCCTAGCTTGTTTGGCTCAGTGGATAGAGCGTCGACCTGTGGACTGAAGGGTCCCAGGTTCGATTCTGGTCAGGGCACAAGCGTGGGTTGTGGGCTTGATCCCTAGTACGGGGAGTGCAGGAGACAGCCGATCAATGATTCTCTCTCATCATTGATGTTTCTATCCCTCTCCCTTCCTCTCTGAAATCAGTAAAAATATATTTTTAAAAAAATAATGAATTAAAGAAAAGAAATAAATTACATATTGTGAATGGTACAAATCATTTTTATTTATTGTGATAACATACACTTAACATAAATTTCCTCATTTCAAGTATTTCTAACACCACAGCTCAGTGGTGTTACATACACTCACTTGGTGCACAGCCCGCCAGTCATCCCCATAACGGCTTTCATCTGGTGAAATTGAAACTATTCCCATTAAACACTAACTCCCTCTTCTCCCTTCCCCCGGAGGAGTCCGTGCGCCCCTGGTAACCACCACCCACTCCCTGTCTCTATAATTGTGACTCCTGTAAAGTATTTTGTGTAAGCGGAATCAGTGTGCCCTTTTGTGAATGGCTGCCTTCACTGCGTAGCGCATCCTTGAGGTTTATCCACATTGTAGCACGTGGCCGGGCTTCCTTCCTTTCTGAGGCTGAAGAATACCCATGGTAGACACGTACGCATTCTCTGTAACGGGACATCAGTCAGTGGCTGCAAGCCGCTTGGGTGGCGTCCACGTTTACTGGTGCGAATCATGCTGCTGTGAACACAGATCCCTTAGAGCCCCTGCTCTCCCCTCTTTGGAGTATGCACCCAGAAGCAAACGGCTCCTGTGGTCATTATTCTTGTGGTCATTATGTCTTCAGTTTTCTGAGGAGCTACCGTGCATCTTTCACAGGGTCTGAGGGCTCCAGTTTCCCCACACCCTCGCCAGCCCGTGGTCTCTGTTCTTCTGTAGCAGCCACCCTAAGCATGTGAGGGGG